TTCACCAATTAGCCTTTTCGATAATTCTTGTCGTTTTCTTGTAACAGTTGTAAGAGTTTGAGATTGTGAAGTTAGGGGAGAGTAGGATTGCTCGTGGGCTAGTCCAGTGAAAGGTCGTAGGCTTCGACCATGTTCATACATTTTAGTGTATTTACATATATATTGAATAATTTTTAATATTATTTAATTAAATATTAATAAACAATATCGCTTTTTACGACCGCTGATTATCGACGGTCAATGGTCAACATCCGCTCGGGCTGAACTTTTGTGTTGGGTCTATCACTAATAAAGCCCCTATTTGTCTCTCTTTAAAATAAAGGATTATGCTATTGTCCGAAAAATGACATCCAGAAAGTATGCCTGCTAGAAATGATGTTTAGTGAAATAATTAAATGAAAAAGTTAATTGCATTTTAAACTCTTTAATAATAAAATATCATGTAGCATTATATAACTCATTATATAAGGCTTGATGTACATGTAGCAACGTCCTAAAACAATTCTTTAATTTTCAGACTCATTTTCTATCATATATTCACACAATAAATAAATAAAATAAAATAAAAAATATATATATATATACACAATAAATATATTATATATATATATATTCTTCAAAAGTGCATTGCAAGGATCAACTTCAGATGCTCTTTGGAAAAAAAGAAGTCACATTCTTCAAAATGAATAATTTCTTTCAATACCTAGAAATGACCCAACTGATTTTGACTTCATAAAACTAGTATACGGTGCACAACTGATTAGCTATTTTATACCACATAATCTCTATCTGATAAAAGAATAGAGAATAAAGATCTTTACAGGTAGAGGGAGAACCAATCTGCCTGATGGAAAACCTATATGGGAGCTGCACATGTCGTTCTAAAATGTCCCGTCTGGTTACAGCGGCTACAATGCACCACCCGTTTAACACGATCACGATCTTCTCTACGAGTTCGCCTTTTTCTCGTCTGTCCTAGTGACCGAAGTGTCTTTGGTGGATTGACAACAACATCTTCACCACTGCCTTCAGTTTGAGATCTCTGAGACATCTCCTGCCAGAGGGTTCTGTCTGGGATAGGATGTATTGTTTGAGAGTATGTTTTGCGATATGTTGCCACAGTGAAACAACTCTCAGTAAAGCGGTGAACATTCTGCCTGCAAGAAAGGAGAACAGCCACAGCATGACAACAAGGAAGACCATATAACTGCCATCCTCTACATGAACAACGGCGGTTGCGGATATCCACAATGTTCGTTCCTTCATGAGATATAACTTCAAATTCGGCTTCATTTGCTCGGAGAACCTGGTAATTGTGCGCTCGCCCAAGGGCCTCTGAGATGTGCCTTTCGGCGGAGGGAACAAGTAGAGATGTCCACTGCATGCTGGCTTCACGTCTCTCATTGAACCAAGTCATCAACTGCCTACGTATGCATTCCATCATCTGAACTACTGGAAGCCCGGAAGCTTCCAGTATCCAAGAATTTAATGACTCAACTACATTGGCTGTCAGATGCCCAAAACGCGTTCCCTCAAAGTGAGAAGTGGCCCACAAGTGAGGTGGAATTCGTCGAACCCAATAAGCAGCATCTGGCGACATTTCTTCTATCTCCAGAAGTTTAGTTTCAAACTCCAAAACAGTAAGAGCATTAGCAGCTTCCCAGAGAAGGTGGACAAGAACACTATTGTTGAACTCCTTCCGGAAATTCTCACTGAGATGATGCAAGCAGAACCCATGAAAAGCAGTTGGGAAGTTCGACTCTACTGCATCTAGAATGCCCTTTTGCCTATCAGACAAGAAAATTAGCCTTGGCATGTTCCCTATGTTGGTCTCAAGAAGGTTATGCAGCTCAGAAAGGAGCCACATCCAGTTTTCATCATTTTCCTCTTCAACAACACCAAAGGCCAAAGGAAATAGTGACCCATCTCCATCGAAACCTGTAGCGAAGAGCAGGGTCCCCAGGTACTTGCTTTTCAGAAGAAGTCTATCCAGCCCAATCAGTGGCCTGCACGCATTCAGAAACCCATATATTGATGCTTGATATGAAACAAAGAGACGCTGGAAACTATTGTCCACTGGATTCACGTAAACTGATGCCATACTTCCTGGATTGGTCTGTCTCACTTGATCACAATATTGTGGTAAAAGGCGATAATCTTCCTCAAATGAACCACGAAGAGAAGCCATTAACCGCTCCTTTCCTCTCCATGCTTGCTTGTATGACAAGGTTATACCATGAACTCGGTGAATCTCCTCCAGTATCTCCTTTGGCTTGTAATGTGGATTTTCCATGAGACGTTGTTCCACAGTGTTTGCTACCCACTGGGCAGAAGCTTGCTGATGACCAAGATGAGTAATACCACCGCATGTATGGTCTGCATGGATGGTCCTAATGGTAAAAGTAGGAACTCCTGGAAGCTTCGCGGCATGAATCCTCCATGGGCATCCTTCACTAGCACATTTGGCAGTGAAACGGGTTTTGTCAGACTTGACTGTCTGTATCTCAAAGTGAAGGGATATCGCTGCATCCCTTAGTGCTCTGCGACAACTCTTCACATCAGGGAACTCTTGGCCCACACTAAGTTCATGAGTAGGAGCAGGAGTCAACATCCGCGATTGGACAATAGGGGAAGTTATTATGAACTGAGGCTCCTGAACAGACAGATTGGGTGAAGAGATAACACTAATTTCATGATTTTGGTCAACAATGAGCTCCAAGTTGTCATCAATGTCATGGTTCTCTATAATAGCCAATTCATTATTCCCTGAAAGGCCCAATTCATGTTCCTGTGAGGTAAAAGTCAATTGCCTATCATGATTATCCAACCCACTATTATCTTGAACAATGCCCATTTGACCATCTTCGCGTGGATCTAATTCATTTGCATCACCTGCATTGTATTCACTCTCATGCTCATTGCCTTGATCATACTTGTTTTGAAGTTCTTGACCATGTGTAAGAGCCATTTCCTGGTTAATGGCAGGAACCAGCAAATAACATCGAGTAACACTCTTTCCTAAACCTATGTCACTATCATCTGCTCGTTTTAAATCCATATAAAGTTCATGTGTTGAATCACCAGGTTATGACTATGTTTAAAACCAACATGTGGATTTTGAGCTAATGAAATCACTTGCCTTTACCAATAACTCGATGTTGGTTGTCCACACAAGATCAATGAATTCTCTTATACTTCAAAAGTATTCTTAGTCTTTGCAATCTACCGGTTGAAAAGAAAATTCAAAATTGATTAATACTGAAGCATAACAATAATACCCAACATTACCATCGCAATAACTGTGATCTTCTAAAAAATCTGCAGCTGTCCAACGCATAAATAACATTAGGAATATATATAAAACTTGC